TGGATGGAGGACGAGAAGTGTGGGAGCGAGCGGCACGTAACCCCACCACCATATTCCTGTGCTGTGCACGCATGCTGCCATGCAACAACACCTCACGCATGCTGCCATTCAACAACACCTCACGCAACCACTCCTGCAAACAACCGCACCTGGCTAGACCAGCAGCAGCAGCATTGCAGCATGGCAGCAGTATGGCAGCACGGCACGCACCGAACTTGAGGTTGCCGGTGTAGCGTGTGAGCATGGGGTTGGCGCCCAGGCGCTGATACCGTAGCCCCTGCTCCGTGCTCTGCATGCACGCAACCAGGCAGAGCGGAAGAGGAAGGTGGGGGGGGGAGAAGGAGCGAGGAGGGGTGAAACAAGAGATGCGATGCACGGAGTTGGGTAAGCAGGGAGGTATGGGGATGTGAGGTGAGGTGACATGGCATGGACATGAGCAGGGACGTGAGTGAGTGATGTGCGTGCAAGTGGGAGGCATGATGGGCACACGTTGGTTGCACACAAACGTGAGAGGCCACTTATATCAGTGCCAAAAGGTGTCGCACGTGCCAAAAGGTGTCGCACATGCCAAAAGGTCGCACGTGCCAAAAGGTCGCACGTGCCAAAAGGTCGCACGTGCCAAAAGGTCGCACGTGCCAAAAGGTCGCACGTGCCAAAAGGTCGCACGTGCCAAAAGGTCGCACGTGCCAAAAGGTCGCACGTGCCAAAAGGTCGCACGTGCCAAAAGGTCGAACGTGCCAAAAGGTCGCACGTGCCAAAAGGTCGCACGTGCCAAAAGGTCGCACGTGCCAAAAGGTCGCACGTGCCAAAAGGTCGCACGTGCCAAAAGGTCGCACGTGCCAAAAGGTCGCACGTGCCAAAAGGTCACACGTGCCAAAAGGTCACACGTGCCAAAAGGTCGCACTTGCCAAAAGGTCGCACGTGCCAAAAGGTCGCACGTGCCAAAAGGTCGCACGTGCCAAAAGGTCGCACGTGCCAGGTCCCAGGTGCGTGCGTACGGTTGTGGTGATGAGGGCGAAGCGACCAATCATGGCGGAGACGAGAGGGAGGAAGAGCCCATCCATGGCGTGCCACCTGTCAAACGTTGATTGGGTCATGCGCGCGTTGAGCAGCGCAATGGGCACCTGCATGGGATGGCGGCAAGGAGAGGGGAAGTGGCACACCGAAACACACAGAGACAGCCAGAATGTTGAAGACCGTTCTCTCTGTAACACGACTGTCTGTGCAAGGCGATTCCCCAGCAACGTGCTGGAGCGCCTCAGAGAAGGGCGGGAGATCCTGCAGCTTGCACACCTACTGCTGCTGCCATAAATACTTTTCTCTAAATCGACATTCATCAGCAGAAAATTGCGCGTCTTTCAGTATGAGCAGGAGGGGAGGGCGTACAGTGAGGAGGCGGGGCGAGAGCAGGAGGTTGGGCCAGAGCTCCTGCTCCATGAACACCGCCCCGTTGGGCTGCCAGTGCGCCAGGAAGCGCTCCACCGCTGCTGGCGCGTCCACTGGCGCTAGCTGCGGGGGGGGGCGGAGCAATCATGAGCAGAGGGGGGCGAGGGGCAGAGAGGAGCGGAGTGGGGAGTGACAGGGAGGGGGTAGGGAGCGAGACCGATTTCGAGTCGACTGAATGACAGGGAAGTGGTACAACGCTGCGGCGCGTCCACTGGCGCCTAGCTGGCAGGCAGGGTCGAGCAAGGCGATGAGGAAGGAGAGATGCGTAGTGAGTACGACTGGTGTTCATCACGAGAAGGGTGTTGCAGCAGCCATGCACGGTATGTTCATTTCCGACCTCCTGCGTGCCTGGCATGTGGCACACGTGGCATGTGGCACACGTGGCATGTTCTACACGTGGCATGCGGCACACGTGGCATGTGCTACACGTGGCATGCGGCACACGTGGCATGTGGTACACGTGGCATGCAACACACCTGGCATATGACACGACACACACACCTGGCATATGACCCACACACCTGGCATATGACATGCGTTTTGGAGAAGGCTTTGGATACAACAGACCTGCCGTGCGGCGAAATTGGGAGGGGGGCGCAGGGGGGAGGGGGCAGAGAGGAGGGGGCATGTGGGAGGGGCGCGCGGAAGGGGCATATGGGAGGGGCGCGCGGGGAAGGGACGGCATATTATACAAGGTAGTTGCAGGAGTGGGGAAGGAACAAGAGCATGAGAAGGAGAACGCAAGGGGGCGGCGGTCCTATGGTGAAAGCGAAGACCCTAAACGCGTTTGAGTGGATGCAGGATGATTCTGAAAGCCAAGACCCAGACCCGATGGGTGGATGAGGGAGAGAAACGAACAAGCGAGATGCAGACGCAGGTGGGGAAGCGAGAGGAGGAAGGAGAGAGGGGGAGAGGGGAGGAGGGGAAGGGGTTGGGGCGGGGTGGGTGGTGGAGGGGGAAGGGGAGGGGGAGGGCGAGCGGGGGCGTACAGCGCGAGGGCGTTGCGGGTGGTGAAGAGCACTTTGAGGCGCGGCCGCTGCTGCATGCACTTGCGCACCAGCGGTATCGCGATCGCGCTCTCGCCTGTGGGGGGGAACGCGGGTGGTAGTGCACGGCCGGGGGGAATGGCGGGCCGGGCACGAGGGGGTGAGAGAAGGGAGTGAGAGGGGCAGGAAAGCACTGAGAAAGGGCGAGGAGGACAAGGGAGCCCGAGAAGGGGAGTGAGAAGGTGCCACGTCGTAGCTCTAAAGTTCAGGTTCATTGTGACCACGAGAAAGCTTGGAGCCCACAAGGCGCGGTCTAGGAGCGGTCTAGGAGCGGTCTAGGAGCCTACCCACGGAAACAGCATGGAACCACAACAGAGGACCGTCCGGTCGCTTCGCCGAAGGTACGCCCAGTTGTTCCCGCCATCTGCTCCCCGCGCCGTCCAATCCCAGCAACGCGCGCTGCCAGAGGCCCATCGCCACCAATGGCGACGCGACGCTCGTGGCTGCTCTGTACGCGCCTTGAATCGCGGCGCCGACTGCGGCGTCCGCCGCCATTGCGGGAGTCGACGCGTGCAGGTGGCGCGACGAGGCGGGGTGAATGGAGGAGCTGTGATCGCGCGGTGGAGACGAATGCGAGGGCGAGAAGGGTGGCGGCTAAGGGAATCAGGGTAGTCCCGAATCCCGATATTGGCGGTTGACGTGGCGGGAACCAAGGTGACTGTCCGATCATGCGAGGAGGAAGAATCAAGGCTTCTGGTTTGAACAGCGTGTGCACTAAGAGGGGTATTTCCTTACCGCTGGCTGGGTGTACCCTCTTACGGTATTATGAGATTATGTTATGACATCAAGAAGCTAAATACGTGATACCTGTAATTTATTGAGTGACTTGCACCAGCATCACTTCTCTCATAGAGACTTGCCTGTACATTGAACAGTGGGGTTAAATGTCAATTGAACTTCTACGCAAAAAGAGCATCAAATAGTGTACCGGGAAGTCATGTTATCTTCCTGTGGCCGTAGTTGGCGATTTTGCGGTTCCATTTGAGTTCTGCGGCTCCTGCATACGGTGATCGCAATTCTTGTGGCAGTGCTCTAACACGCCTCCACTGTGCGTTACAACCCAGCGCTGCTTCTCTGTGCATGGCTAGTAAGCACTGCTCTGGCATGCAATGCCAACCACCACTGCTCAACGCACTCCCTGCACCTGCACCCACCCACCCACCCCTGTACAAGTTGATCCTGTGGTACCTGCAGTGAAAAGGAGGGATCGGAGACACAAGGATGCTGCAACGCCCTATTGTTGGCTCTTAACTCACGCATGCCAGTAGCGACAAGCACTCACGGGCTCAAAGGCAGTCACAGCCCTCTATGCCATACTGACAAACCTTACCCCTCTCTCACCCCCCACCCCCTCCTCAACCCGCACCTCTCTCGTCCCACCCTCGAGCCAGAATCTGCCATCCCACCAAGCCGTGTCACACCTGACTCGCCACAGCCCCCCTGCGCCTCCCATGCCCCCTAAACCTTCCCCCCCATATGCTTGTCCAATCCGAACGACGTCAAGAGGCCTCACTGCATGCATCTCAGCAGCAGCGGTGTCCCGGCATGAGGGATTCCTCCCAACCCCCCTGCGCCTCCCATTCCATCTCACCCCCAACCCCCCTGCGCCTCCCATGCCATCTTCCGCCAACGCCCCTGCACCTCCCATGCCATCTCCCCCCAAACCCCCTGCACCTCCCATGCCATCTCCCCCCAAACCCCCTGCACCTCCCATGCCATCTCCCCCCAACCCCCCTGCGCCTCCCATGCCATCTCCCCCACAACCCCCCCAGGTGAAAGACCTCAAGAGGCGTCACTGTGTGCGTCTCAGCAGTAGTGGGCGTCATGGCGCGAGAGACTCACCGCACCCGCACTCCGCCTGCTCCTCCCATCCCATGCCATCCGCACCACCCCGCCCTCTCCCCCCCTTCCTGCCCAACCCCCAGGCGAATAACCTAAAGAGGCTTCGCTGCATGCACCTGAGCAGCGGCGGCACTGGCGTCATGAAGGACTCGCCGCACCCCTCTCACCTCCTTACATGTCACCCACAAACTCCCCCCTCCCCCTCTACATCCCCCCCCATCAACACCCTTGCCATAGGCGACTGACCTCAAGAGGCATCACTGCGAGCGCCTGAGAGGCGGCGGTGGTGGTGTCACGTCATAAAGGACTCGCCGCAGCCGCACTCCCCCTTGGAGTTGGGATTCACGAACACAAACTCCGACCTGCGCCCCCCCACCGCCCACCCCAAATATGCCATTCGCACAATGATCGGTGGAAGGTGAGGAATAGGATCAGGGCAATGAGTGATTTCGGAAATGACAGCAGCAGGTGGGAAGGTAAGGGGGAGCATGGGGCAGCAGGGCATGAATGTGATGAACGATAATGAAGGAAGAGAGAGAGGTAGGGGAGGATGGAGGGGAGAATACAAACGTGACACAAGAGAGTGAGGTCGCGAAAGAGGGAGGCTGGACGCGCAAACGAGAGGGAGGGTAGGAGGAAGAGAGGGAGAACATGGAGAAAAACAGGTTATGAGCGGGGGAGGGTCAGAAGAGAAAGAGATGGGGGTGGGAAAGGAGGGGGGGTGGGGAGTGGGGTGGAGACAGGTGCGCGCAGCGGCATGGGGCGGGACGGTGTTGGGACGCACTTGAGGCGGTCCTGTACGAAGTCGACGGTGGTGCCGATGACGGCCATGAGTGCCTTGGGCTCCACCACCACTCGCACGCCCTTCTCCTCCACCACCTCGTTGAACCTCCCCGGCTCGTCTTCTCACCGCCGCGCACACGAGCAATGGGCGACGGACGACAGCAGAGTGACCCCATGGGAATGGAGAATGTGAGATTGAGCGACGACATCTGAAGCGGCATATTGAGCATTGATCAGACATCTGGAATGTGTGATTATGAGCTTACTATATCCGCCATGAGAGGCACACAAGGAAAGACGCATGTAGAGAGGGATACGAGCGTCTTAATTGCTCTACTACCTCTACAAACACAACACCGCGACATCTGCTGTGATTCCAAACGTGCTCTCCTCGATACCCAGTGGCTAAAGCACGCACGTAAGACTGCGAGCGCGCGGCGCGTACCGGCGTAGGTGAGCGTGTAGCTCATGCCGCTGCAGCCGCGCGACTTGACGCCCAGCTTGAGGTACTCCTTGTTGCGCCTCGTCAGCAGCTCGCAAATCCGATCGGCCGCCGCGTCCGTGAGCTGAATCACCTGCCGCCGCGGTGCGCGCGGCCTAATCACTGCCTTGTCGGCGGCAGCGAGCGCCGCGGTCATGACACGAGGACGACTGCGCTGTGGTGGACGGACCTGGTTGTGTGACTGACACGGAAAAGCGTGCCAGTGAACGGGTAGCAGCTTCTTTCTAAGGGCGTCGGTTGTAGTAGAAAGGCCTCACAGCCGACAACATGAGCCTTGAGATATGATGTCGGTGGTTTCGAAATCAAATTAGGAGGCACTCTAGCACCTGGTGTTCAGTTGGTCAGGACTCAGGGCCCAGTAGTCAGAAGCGGCTGGAGTATCGAGGCTGAAACTATCGAGGCTGGAAACTATCGACGCTGCAGATGGTGCAGGATTCATGAACCATCATTCCTCAACTCAAGACCAAACAGACAATCAGGGCGCGTCTCCCTCTTGATCCACCCTGAGCAGGTTCCTTTTTCGGCTTGGTTGTAAATGTAAAACGTGGAGTTTATGTGTGGTAGAGGATCGAATCCTCGATTTTGCACGATCCATCGAGGGAGGGGGGACGCGCCCTGATGTCAGCAGCTCGCGAATCCGATCAGCCGCCGCGTCCGTGAGCTGAATCACCTGCCGCTGCGGTGCGCGCGGCCTGATCGCTGCCTTGTCGCCGGCAGCGAGCGCCGCGGTCATGACACGAGGACGACTGCGCTGTGGTGGACGGACATGGTTGTGTGACTGACACAGAAAAGCGTGCCAGTGAACGGGTAGCAGCTTCTTTCTAAGGGCGTCGGTTGTAGTAGAAAGGCCTCACAGCCGACAACATGAGCCTTGAGATATGATGTCCGTGGTTTCGAAATCAAATTAGGAGGCACTCTAGCACCTGGTGTTCAGTTGGTCAGGACTCAGGGCCCAGTAGTCAGAAGCGGCTGGAGTATCGAGGCTGAAACTACCGAGGCTGGAAACTATCGACGCTGCAGATGGTGTAGGATTCATGAACCATCATTCCTCAACTCAAGACCAAACAGACAGTCAGGGCGCGTCTCCTTCTTGATCCACCCTGAGCAGGTTCCTTTTTTCGGCTTGGTTGTAAATGTAAAACGTGGAGTTTTTGTGTGGTAGAGGATCGAATCCTCGATTTTGCACGATCCATCGAGGGAGGGGGGACGCGCCCTGATGTTCAACATGGAGGTTCCAATTGAAGCGAAAGAACGAGGTTTTCGCTACCGAGATCAAGAATACAACTTTGAGGGAGTACATTTGCAGCAGAGTTTGTAGTTTTCCAAATAGGCGGAAAATGTTTCTGACATTCATGTCACTTCCTTTTTGGGTTGCGTAGTAGCTTCTTTCTAAGGGCGTCGGTTGTAGTAGAAAGGCCTCACAGCCGACAACATGAGCCTTGAGATATGATGTCGGTGGTTTCGAAATCAAATTAGGAGGCACTCAAGCACCTGGTGTTCAGTTGGTCAGGATTCAGGGCCCAGCATTCAGAAGCGGCTGGAGTATCGAGGCTGAAACTATCGAGGCTGGAAACTATCGACGCTGCAGATGGTGCAGGATTCATGAACCATCATTCCTCAACTCAAGACCAAACAGACAGTCAGGGCGCGTCTCCCTCTTGATCGACCCTGAGCAGGTTCCTTTTTCGGCTTGGTTGTAAATGTAAAACGTGGAGTTTTGGTGTGGTAGAGGATCAAATCCTCGATTTTGCACGATCCATCGAGGGAGAGGGGACGCGCCCTAATGTTCAACATCGAGGTTCCAATTGAAGCGAAAGAACGAGGTTTTCGCTACCGAGATCAAGAATACAACTTTGAGGGAGTACATTTGCAGCAGTGTTTGTAGTTTTCCAAATAGGCGGAAAATGTTTCTGTCATTCAAGTCACTTCCTTTTTGGAATGCGTAGCAACCCTTCATATTTGGTTTCACATTTTGGGGATATCATCTCGAGAGTGATTTTGAAGTACTATTTGGAGCACTCGTTTGAACGTTTTAAGTCTGTGTTCAAACGAACGCCTCAAGGAGTGAATGAGCATCACTCTTGAATGCGATATCCCTGAATGTGAAGCCAAATACGTACGTACGTATCATGTTGAAACCATGAATTTGCTCGACCATCCCACCTCGTTGATAAATACGGCGGATGGTACGGCCGAACATAAGATTCAGGCATCAACATGAACGAATGAACAACAAGGTATGAGGTGGTATGGATGCTTCAAAATGGGCGTTAAAATGCATCATATAGCAACAGAGGCTGATGGGGTCGTTGAAACAGCGAAAACACGCTGCCCAAAGACGATTAACAACCTCTAATTGCATACATGACACGAAGTAACATCACACTTTGAAACACACATACCACGAACACGAATGCACACGCATATAACAAATTGTACAAATGAACAACAAGGTATGAGGTCGTATGGATGCTTCAAAATGGGGGTAAAAATGCATCATATAGCAACAGAGGCTGATGGGGTCGTTGAAACAGCGAAAACACGCTGCCCCAAAGGCGATTAATAACCTCTAATTGCATACATGACACGTAGTAACACCACACTTTGAAACACACATACCATGAACACGAATGCACACGCGCGTAAAAATCGCCAACACCACATACACGCACGCACAGAGACACGTACAAGCAAATAAACAAAGCTACATAAATAACCAGCTAATATATCGTACACACAGATAACAAAAAGTCAAGTTTTTTCATGTATAACCCATTTTCTCCATATCTCCCCATGTTCCCTCCATTCCCCGCTTGCTTCCTCCCTTTAAAATTTATTGCAAACGGAAGTGGGGACGATAGAGCTCCGCTTGCATATCCTACACAAAATAATAAAGAAACAAACACAACAAACAAGAAATATAGTGCAAAAGTTCGTTTACAAGTGCAACAAGTTAATAACTTCATAATCACGTTCAAGAAACTCATGAATCCTACCATAAAGCCATACAATCAAATTAGAGTACGAGCATTTCATTGTATCTTACCTTGCCACCACGACGCTGAGCGAGTTTCACGGGTGTCGCTGGAACGCTAGGAGGAGCATTTGGTGCCTCACGTCTCTTGTTGTTATTGGGATCCGCATTATGCTCCTCCTAATGCAAGAAAAAGGTACAAACATATTGGTAATGTGCACAAAATGTGACTATACAAATACTAATATTTCAGCACTAAAACGACATATTATATCATGTCATGGCTCCGGAAGTGGGGACGATAGAGCTCCGCTCGCATATCCTACACAAAATAATAAAGAAACAAACACAACAAACAAGAAATATAGTGCAAAAGTTCGTTTACAAGTGCAACAAGTTAAAAACTTCATAAACACGTTCAAGAAACTCATGAATCCTACCATAAAGCCATACAATCAAATTAGAGTACGAGCATTTCATTGTATCTTACCTTGCCACCACGACGTTGAGCGAGTTTCACGGGTGTCGCTGGAATGCTAGGATGAGCATTCGGTGCCTCACGTTTCTTGTTGTCATTGGGATCCGCATTATGCTCCTCCTAATCCAAGAAAAAGGTACAAACATTGTGAAAAGTTTAGAAGAAAGAAGAGGACTGCACTAGCAAGAATGGGGATACAAATAGGAAACCCTAGAAGGGTTGTACTCGCTATAGAGCACCCCACTACAGGCTAGAGCATAAGATAACATTCTGACACACCCCCATAGCCAAAGTGGGGTGTAATCAGCAAAGCAAGCAAAGCAGTACAAGCTCAGGGTGGATCACAATGTCACCACACATTCTGAGCACAAGTTCAAGAAGCAATAGTTTAAAGTTAACAATTATGAGCAAAGCTAGTGGTAGTCACAACGGGCAAGTGAGGAGGAGGAGAGAGAGTGAGAGGAGAGGAGATAGGAGGCGACGGCTGAAGCTGCATACACACGGGCAACAGGAGGCACACTAGCAAAGCGGTTACCGGAACAACGCTCCGGAATACTGGAGTAACTGGCCCCGCGGCTAAAGTAGCGGTAGACGAGCAACGGACCCACGGGCGGCTGGCACAGCTGGCTACGAGTGGGCTACCGGACGAAGTCCCCGGAATATAGGTGCTGCTGGCGACACGACGGCAACCTCCATTCAGCTTCCCCAAACGATCCCACTCCCCCTGACACACACCCGCTGCTACACCCCTAGCTCCACTCTCACCCCACCCCCTAGCACCACTCCGTCGAATCCCACACACCAACCCCCCTCAGCGGTAGCTGCAGCAGTGGGAGACAGAGGAGGAGGAGGAGCAGGGGAGACTACACACCCGCCACCCCCCAGGTCGCCCCAGGACTACACACCCCGCAAGCGGCCCCCTCAGGTCGCCTCGACAGGCGACGGGAAAAGGGGGGGGGGGGGGGGGGGGTGCACATGCCGTTGGTAGGGCGACGGGGTCGGGCCTGTAGGGCGGCAGGACGACGGGGCCGCAGGAAGGGCGGCGGGGCCGGGGCCAGGGCCGCAGGTAGGGTCGCCCGAGCCACGCGCAGGCGGCCCGAGCCGCGCGCAGGCGGCCCGAGCCGCGCGCAGGCGGCCCGAGCCGCGCGCGGGCCTGGCGCCGCCTGTACGGGTCGCGCGCGGGCCTGGCGCAGCCCGTACGGGTGGTGCGCGGGCCTGGCGCAGCCCGTACGAGCCGCGGACGGGTCGGGCGCGGCCCATACGTGCCGCGCGCAGGCCACAACGGGCGACAAGGGGCGACGCGGAGGTCCCCGTCGCCCGTCGCAGCGCCTCCCAGGAGCGGCGCGCGGCGTGACGGGGCAGTAACCCGCCGCGCGCCTCGGGGCGCACGGCGGGAAGAGAACCGCCGCGCGCCTCGGGGCGCACGGCGGGCTGAAAACCGCCGCACGCCACGGGGCGTGCGGCATAGAGAGTAGTGATAGTATTAGCAGTAGGAGTTGCAGCGGAAGCAACGAGGTGGTAAGTCCACCCACAGGATCGATCCAAGGGGATCGACCTGCTCTGATAGCATGTGAAAGATTGAAGAGAGAAAGATGACTGCACTAGCAAGAATGGGGATACAAATAGGAAACCCTAGAAGGGTTGTACTCGCTATAGAGCACCCCACTACAGGCTAGAGCATAAG